TATATATATATATATTCCTTTTAAAAAATAAGAAGAAAAAAGTAAATAATTTATGTATAAACTAAAATTAATTTATATATTTAAGTTAAAAATAAATTTTTGAAAAACTAATATAAGAGTTTTACATACTAACTTGTGCAGATTAATTTTAATTTTTGGAAAAAAAAAATTAATTATTTAATTTTTATTTTTGAAGTGCTTTTGTAATTCAAACGGACATCACTATAGATCAACAATTTTTTTTTTTTATGATGAAAACAAAACAACAAATAATTAATTCTATTTTTATATACTACTATCACTATAATTATGAGGTTAGAATTAGTTCTTGAATGATTTCCAAACATCGTAATTACTTATGGTATGGTTAATGGACAACATTTGTCTTTAATTATGTGTGATCAATCAAGGATTCAATCTCTGTTTAATATGTATAAAAAAATATTTATTAAAAATTAACTTTTTAAATAGAGCTCAATATTGAAGAAAAAAAATTAGTTTAAACTTTTGTTTAAGAGATATTTTTTATTTAAAAGAAAAAGATGACACGTTATTTCATGCAATTCATGCAGAGTTGGCTTCATATATATCAAATAGCGGTGCTGTTAACAAAGTTTTTTGATTAAGAATATTTACAAAATTTGAAGATAAAAATGACAATAAATACATTAATTATACCCCCCAAACAATTTATCTCATTTCGTCATACACAAATGGCTATCACTTTAATGTTTGGAGGTATTATTATTATTATTATTATTATTATTATTATTATTATTATTATTATTATTATTATTATTATTATTATTATTATTATTATTTGAGAAGTAGAACCCAACAACCCACCTTTTGTCGTTTATAATCAAGCTGAGATTCTTAATTCAATCAAATTCCAAAATATTGTGCGCCACGAATATTTCATTTAGTAGGTCTTCCGAATCAAATTGATTTTTTTTCTACCCCACAAAATTGATTATGAGACACGCAAAATGCAACACTTACTAAGAGAAAGAGAAATGATTTAGAGGGATATAAATATAATAGGTAATATGGTATGGTATGATAAGAAAAAATAAAAACAAAAAGAAATTTAAATACTTAAATGTGTTAGTTTTGATTTTTTTTTCATTTTTTTTAAAATTTAAAATCACTATTTTGATCTTTATTATTATGTGTCAATCATTATTTCCCTTAAAAAAATCATAAGTAATATTTCTAAAAAAGAATTTTATGATACCTAAAATAAATATTATTTATGTATTTTAAAATGAACATTGAAGATCATAATTAGTAATTTCAAATTTTAGAAAAAAAATCAAATATTTTAAAAGCATCAAAGCAAAAGAAGAAAAAAATATTTTTTTATAAATATTTTTTTATAAATAAATTAAAATAATGCAACACAACGAAAAATGTTTATAGAAATCAAAATAAATACTCCTTCATTAAAAGTATATTTGAGTAAAAAAATAATGGAGATATTAGTAATGTTTAAAAGAGTTGTCTAAATTTCGATGACACATGGGAAGAATTTAGGAAACAGATTTAGGCCTATTTGAATAAGTTTGTCTAGAAGTAGAAGAAAAAAAAAATATATATATTTTATAAATTAAAATTAGCTTATACATGAATGAAAGATAAGATTTTAGAAAATTTAATAGGAGATAATTTTTATAAATTAATTTATACATATATGTTAATTTTAATTTATGAAAAAAATTATTTCATATTTTTCTTTTTATTTTTTTTTCCTAGACTTGATTTTGAAGAATTTACATATCCAAACAAAATATTAATTATGGTGACTTTCGATAATAAAATCACAGTGGCTTTCTCTTTTATCAGTAGATCAATATTTTTCTTTAATTTGTTTTCTCAAGGGCCCTGAAATGTTACAAAATGAATAAACATAATTCCAATAAAATATAAAATATAAAAATAAAAATTATATTACTTTATAAATATTTTGTATAATAAACATGTTAAAAAATTAATTAATCAACTCGTATTTAATGAACGATTGTCTTGCATAAAATTATTTTTAATATGTCATTTTTCAACAAGTGTTTATAAGAATTTTTATAATTTTTTATTTAATTTAATTATTTTTAGGGATTAGTTTAAAATTGAAGCGTTTTAAGATTCTTTTAACTCTTTATCTAATTTTATTTTTATTTATAATATTTATTTGTAAAATAAATTTTAATATTTTATAAAAATTATCAATAATTAAAAATAATATTATATCACAATTTAAATAACTTATTATAAATTTAAAATATAATTTATATATTTCAAAATATCTATTTATATAAATTTAAATATAATTTATATATTTAAATATAGTCTTTATTTTTTATATAATTTTTTTTAATAAATTTTTGTTATATATAATAAATATTTAGCAGGTGAAATATAATTTACCTTTAAAATGAATAATTGAATTATTATATAAAAAAACATTTTGTATAATGAACACGTTAAAATATTAATTAATACAATTAATGTAGATATGGTTACATAAAGATTTCTCTTACAGCACTAATATTATTCTATTCAGCGTTTAATTAAAAATTAAATATTTTTAATTTTAATTTTAATTAATATATATTATTTTAGGAGAATTGAAGAAGTATAAAGATAGATATTAGTGGGATAGTTGGTAAAAGAGGAAGTAGGTTGTATTCATAATGAAAGTGATGTGTTTCCAAGGAATAAGTTGCAATAATTGGAAGATTTTTGTGAGCAACCGACCGCAAAAACTGACCAAATGAACGAAAATATGCGTTCAGATTCCAGAATTTAGTGGGAATCATCGTTTTCTATTAAAACTCTCAAGTTTCAATCTATTGTTTTCGTTGAAATTCCACAGCACTTCGTTCATAACATTGGATTATTTATTAGTTTAAATATCAGACAGATGTTATGTGTGATCAACGTGTGGTTCTGGTTCCCAATTAATTCACTCTCCACCTTAAACGCAATAAATATTTTTTCTCTCTGAAAGGGGAGACTACCGAACTTCACGCACAGCTTATAAATATTAACTCTTTAATATGTTCTTCAATTTAATTATAACCTCATATCTGCAGATTCACATATAAATGTATATGATATAATTTTAAAATATTAAAAGCATTTTAAAAATTATTATATAATAAAAAGACTATAATGTCGGAATGTAAAATGAATATAATATAGTTAGGTCTATATATGAAATGAGTCATTAATGTCTGAATTAAAAAGATGAAACATATAATAATGATTATATTTTTATGTTAAAGTCATATTATTTTATTATACCATAAATGAATATAATTGTGACGAAACTTGTTCTTTCGTCACTGGTATAAGTGTCATAAACATTTTAATTACATTTTTAAAAATTATGTATAAATTACTTTATTATCAAAGATAGTTTTTGTATGTTACAATTTTATAAATGTTAATTCTATAATCCACCTTATTTTACACCTTCTATAATCATCCTTTTAATATAGAGATATGATGAAATCAAAATTGATCTCAAAGTATTTTAAAGAAATACTAATGAATGAGTCATTGATTTTTCTAAAAGTAGTTATAAAGAAAAAATAACTATTTCAATGTTTCAAGTTGAAATAGCGACAGACATGATTTGAATGGCAATGGGTGCTGCATGTGAAATGCGCTTAGAGGCAAACATACCTTACCGTACCTATTATTATGCCAGATTGAAGAATGGAACATATAAACTAGAGGAGTTGAATGGGAAGTTAATCTCGAGGACATGGAATTTTACGCATTTGAAAATATATTATGGTTGAAACTCTTGTATTACAACGTACTATTTTCCTTACTCGATTTTTTGTCCCTATAAGAATGTGAAAAGATTTTTTGCGGAAAAGATTTTTAACAAAACACCTTTTCATAAATAATAATATGAGAGGTTTCCTATATGTACAAATTGTTTAAATTTTATCAACAAGGGCTTCCTTGTTGAGGGCCTCTTCAACTAAGGATGTGCCTATAAAATCAAATAAGGCTTTCCATTCGAGAACCGTTTCGATTAAGGATGTGTCTATAAAATCAACAAAGATTTCCTTGTCAAGGACCCCCTCAGCTAAGATATGCTTATAAAATCAAATAAGGCTTCACTCCTAACTGCCCCTTGACTAAGGATTTGCTTATAAAATCAACAAAGTCTTCTTTCTCAAGGACTCCATCGGCTAAGGATGCGCCTATAAAAACAAAGGCTTCCCTCTTGAGGAATCCCTTGGCTAAGGGTGTGCCTATAAAATTAACAAAGGTTTTCCTTCTGAGAACCCCCTTGACTAAGGATGCGCCTAGAATATTAACAAATTAGGTTTCCCTTCCGAGAACCCTTCGATTAAGGATGCGCCTATAAAATCAACCAAGGTTTTCC